GGTGGTCCGTGGTAGACGATGTCTGTCATAGCCTATGAAGCCTGAATCAGAAAGAATCTCTCTGCTCGATGACTGCTGCACTTTACGACAGGGCATCTCAACAGATAGAAAGTTTTATATACATGTAGATATTCTTCTCCGCCGAAACAGGTGCCATCAATTCTGTGAAAACATTTCCCTGCAGCCTCTCCCGAAAATAAATCTCATCCACTATGTATGCTAATTCTGCAGTCTGAATGCTATTATCACAGGGGTCAAAGGCTTTCATCACAAGCTCGCGCGCACACACACACACACACACACAGGTGCGCCAGGCAGGCGGACAGCTGAATGTGTCGATGGAGGCGGTGTATGCTTCATGTGATGAGGACAATAGGCCAGGCTAACTTTAATCTGCCATTCAGTTAAGATCCTCTCCTCACAGGTGGAGGGAGATAATATTGTGAGAGAGACTTTTCGGCTCAGTCGCGACCATTCGTAGCACACGGGCTAAACACACGCGCAGACACACGGTCTGACGTTTCTTCATCCTCTGGGCACGTGCCAGGCTGAAGTGGGGGTTAGCCAATGTATGTGTTGTCCAATCAGGCCTGAAAGCTCCGACAGTAATGTTGGCGTATCCAGCATCCAGCAGCAACAGCTAACTGCAGTCAATGAGCCGCGACCACCTTCGACACAGCACTGCCTTTTGTCCCCAGCTATGCACCCTTCAAGTGTGACGTAAATTGGATGAACTCTTTTCGAGATATGGGGAAGGACACACATACAGAAACTCCTTGATTTATAGTCAGATGGCATCTGCCTGCCAACTCCTCTCCTTCTTTCTCTCTTCCTTCTTCCTTCGGTGTGTCTTTCTTTAACCAGGCGCTCCCATTGTATTGGCAACGAGTTGCTTTGGAAGGTTAAGTGTGTGCTGTTGCATTCAGAGCAGAATGTGCTGCATTGAAATGTCTCCTTGTGTAAAAAAAAAAAAAAAAAAGAGAGACAATCTTTGACATTAAATATGCTACATTATAGCCAGAGTTTGACATTTCTTTGAAACTACTCCGTCGGCTAAACCACCACTTATCCCTTACTTTTCCTCTCTCGTATGGAGTGCTCACTGATGATCTCCTTTCTACCTCATCTGAAGTCTGTCCAGGTTTGTTTATCATCTGGGATGAAGTGTTAGAGGGAGGCTATACCACAGATAAGCAAAACAGTGCCACTATTTTCTACTTGCTGTTAGACGTATACATTAAGGTGTTACTGGAGCCCGAAGGATGCAGTTTAGCAGATTACAGATATACGTAAGTGTGTCTGCATTTATGTTGGCTAAGAAGTAACAAGAAACTGCAGTACATAAACACAAGATATGTAATTTAGACATAGTTTTGCCATTACAGAGCTTTTCCATCACCAAGTTTTTACGGTTTATGTTGGGGGGGGGCATTGATGTCTGTACTTACAATTCGATTGCAATCCATTCAATAGCTGTCAAGACAATACACTCAAAACTCCAAATGTAAATCTGCTGCCAGATTCCAGGGATTTATCATCTGGGGACCATGAATGTGTGTATTGATTGATGAGACTGTGTGGACAGAAAGTGATGGACTGACTGACATCCTCAGTTCCACAACGCCAACAATGTTAGTGGTTGGCTTTAAAAGACACAACTAAAGCCTCTTAAACAACTAAAACAAAAGACTATATTAAATAACATTGTAATCATTGATTGAACAATAACATTCAATATCATCCAACTGTGCTGTAATGAAGCTGAACACAACTGAGTTTAGATTGACTACTGAGTGTCATCAAAACAAATAGTAATGTAAATAGTGCCTCAGGGTAACCTTTCAACAATGCTGACACACGAAGCGTGCGTCATCTCTCTCTCTACCCCGCAGCTACACAGCGGCCTGTGACCATTACAGCAGCCATTAGCCGTGTCAGGGGATGAGAGCTCATTTAGCCTGCATCAGAGAGGAGAGCTGTGAAGAGGCCTGGCTGAGCTCCCTCATTAGCACTGATGCTAGCATGGCTATGTTAAGCTCAGGTACTGATCTGAGAGCTCAGGTACTGACTGAAAGAATAAAATCCTTAGTATTAGTATTAGGATATTAGTGCTTGAGTAGACAAGACAATGACTAATTCTGATGCCAACACACAACCTTATCAACAGATAGAAAGTTTTTGTTGGTTTAGTTGAGTTTTGTTTCACCCCCTTCCACTTGCTACATGCTAACAGCTGTAGCTTGCTTTTTTTTTGTTTTTCAAATTGCTTGCACTAGTAAATCACTTTTTGTGTCATTTTAGTGACGGAGTATTTTCTGGCAAAGTGATGAAGACCAAACCACGCAAAAATAGATTTTGCACACTTTGTATTTGTTCATGTACTCTTTCACACGAACAAGTGCAAAGACATTCTGTTTTAGTTGAGACTGTTGTAGTCTGCGCTGCACACACAATAAACACACTAAGTGAAACCATCTTTACGGCATCGCCCAATTGTTCTGACAATCTATTTGAAAATCATGTATTGAGGTAAATATATTATTGCGGAGGTTGCGAAGTAAAACCAAGCCCTCTAAGTTAAAAGAGGAAAAACGGAGACTCGCGGAGAAGGTGCATAGTTTATGTTCCTTTACGATCTCTTAACATATCGGTGCAGAGAGTGATGGTGAGATTGAAATGGAGGAAGTGGGGAACTAATGAGAATGCATTTAACCTCTAAGCTGTACATTCATGTGCGCTCCAGAGAGGAGAACCCGCTGAATTAAATCACATCTCGTATCCCTGAGCAGAGCGATGGAAGGAGTCAATGGGCTCGCGCTGCCCAGCAACAGCAGCCTCAAACTCTCTGCTCCTCGTGTTTCTCTTTTCATCTCAAACCATCCTCTTATCGACGCACAGCTTTGATTTTACTCTCTGCTCCTCTTCCGTCTTCTCCTTTCAACTCCTCTTGCTTTTCTTTCTGTCCCTGCTCCGTCGTTGCCTCTCCTCTCAAATGTAATGTGAAGATGTGTTTGCTTCCCTTGTAATTTGTAGGGAGTATGATTACTTGTTGAAAAAGATGCTTCGGATCAGTAGATCCTTACCCAACAAATTCACTCTCATATTAGAAAGCACTATCCTCAAAATAGAGCCCTCTTCTTTTAGACGATAGATATATCTCATTTTGGAACGAAATTGCTCTATTGCACTAAGTCAGTGGACGGGAAAATAAGAGGACATTGTTTTGATTCAATCTATTTGGAACCACTTTGCGAACACATTATCCATTCACTGCAGAAGATGTACGGCGCCAGATAACACAGCTCTGCTCTGCCTCACCTCGGTCTGCTTCATTCCCTCATCCAACTTAGAAAACAACAAAAAAAAAGAGTTTTTTTTATCCTCTGTGTTTTACAACAGCGGCGACAACAAACACTGCATCCCCCATTAGAGTTTGTCGGGTTAAAGGAGGTCCATAAATTAATGGAAACGCCTACACACAATGTTGTTGTTTATTTTCCTACCGAGATAATGCAAATGGAGGGAGCTGCAAAGGCCAGATATGATGGAAAATATTGTTTCAGTAGCTCTCTCTCTCTGTGTGTGACTCCATCAAAAGCAATGGTTTCGAAAATTGTACCTGTAACTCTCAGAGTTCCTGCTCTCCGTCATCTCTTTCGCCGTGTTTGAATAATCCGCTGTACAGACGGCGGTTACCCGGCCGTAATGTCGGATGTTTTCCAGCCGTTGCATTGCATTTGTTGTCCTTATATCTACCAGTGTCACATCTATGTGTGCGAATGTTGTTTCTGTAATGCTTGGGTATTTGTCTTCATGCTAATTTGTACGCGCCTTACTGAATACAGACCGAGGAAGATAAATGAATGTGGGTTTCTCCCCCGTCACGTGTTGTTTCTTTCAAAAGGACACCTCAAACATTGTTTCAATCAACAGTTAAATCACAGTTAATATAATATAAGGAGTTGAAGGGCACTCCACCTATTTTTACATGTCAAAGTCAATCAAACAGCCAGAAGGAGTACTAGTCAGTGAGTGAAAGCAGGAGTGTAATATATTCTGGGGATGTCAAGTTTGAAAGATGTCAGCATTTCCAAGGCACGGAGGGTCTCATAAAAAGACATCATTGAGTTGCTTTATGGAAAGTATAGGAGCTCGACCCGAGACAGCAGTTCAGACTCCAGATGTAGCTTATGCTTGAAAAGAAGCAGTTCTTCCGCCAACTTGTCTGACAGCATTGCAAATCAACCCCCCGCCCCCAAAAATCCAATGTCAGAGAGCCCCCGAGAACATCTCTGTCCGCAGCACTCATGATGTCCTGATGTCACAGTGAAGACAGGGTTTACACACCCTCTGAACAACCAGGTGGTTTTTGACAACTTTGGGGTACCTGGAAGTTTTGTTTTATCTCCTTTAGTAGCGGCTAACTCCCTCCCCCACTCCCCCGGGATAACAAATCCCAGACCGGTCTCCCCACCAAACCAACTCCTGGTAAAATCCACCCATGTCGAATGCTATCAGCCGATTGAATGGACGTTATCAGAGGTTACCGGTACCGTTCTAATGCTACAGACGGGCCAAACCGCATCTAGCACCTTGTGAAAGTGAAATGGTGTTGAGTTTTGGTTTCACACGGGACACAAACAGCAGTCTGCCGGGTGAAAGTCCTGCGTTTGTTCGATCCATCCATCCACACCATGGATCAACCATGGAAATAGATGATAACATAATGACTGAATTGAAACTGTTGTCGTTTGCACTACTAGTTACTGAAATTTAACCACCACCATGTTATTTACAACACTTTCAGTAAGTGGTGTGTAAGTGCAATAATACACACATAAGTAGCCTAAAATAATGGACTTATTGTCACTCCGTTAGGTACACCGCTGCTTTTGGGGGGGAACAAATACATTCTGCTCTTTAGATTCTTTTCATATCAAACAAGGCAAGAAAAAGAAAACATTCAATCCGTAACATATAGAGCCATAAACTGATCTTACCTGCAGGATTTTGCACCTCTCAGAGTCGCAGACGATGTCCTCACAGGGATGAAACATTCCCAGGGTCACGCAGTTCAGCAGGATCACCAACATGGACGCTCGCTCGAACCACGTAGAGAGCAACAGTTAAGGAACACAACCAAAAGACAGATGATAACAGCTCGCAAGCCGACGATAAGAGTCGGAAGCTCGCAGTAACAAAACAAACGACATTTCTCCAGCACGTTCTCCAGTGACCTCATTATTCCATTCAAAAGTATAAACTCCTCTGACAAAGTGATGCACGGTTATCTCTTTCCCCCCCCCAAAAAAAAGGTTTGAGAGGAAAAATGAGCCACAGAGGGAATCTGGGAAGTGGGGGAAAGCCCACCTGTGGGGTTTCTGAGTGACAGTCATTGCTCCTATTTCACCCCCCGAGGATCTGTTTGCAAGGCGTGTTGGGGAAAAAATGTTCCGATTGTTAGCGAGGGTGCTTGGATAGACACTTTTAAAGAGATTGTGTGAGGCAAAACAAAAAAGAGAAGAAAGAGAAGAGATGCTGAGACACTGGGAGGCTGACTGAGAGGAGGAGGAGTACAGTGAGCGTGAAGACATCCTGATGCATGGCGCATGCAATTTATTGACCACAGGGTCGAAGTGGGCATTCCTAATGCGGTTAGGTTAAATGCCAGCCTGAGCTATGAGACACCGATCAATGATGGGACCAAACGCAGATTAGGCTGATACTGCTTCACACACACACACACACACACACACACACACACACACACACACACACACACACACACACACACACACACACATATATTATAGGTTGCTACTTACATCCACGTTTAGCATCCAGCACCCCGCCTGGTTAACAATGTTAGACAGAAGAGATTGTTTGTCATCCAAGTGTGTGTTTGAGTTAAAAGGAAAACAGTGCTCTTTTTTTTTTTTAAATCTGTGAATGTGGTGTGCAAAGCAGGCTGTGAGGACAAACGACCTGTCCGTCTTTTATCGCATTTGCCGCCACTTGCTCATTCATCCCACTGACCCATAATGCAGCTGGGTCAGCATGGCCCCAACAGCCGACGCACACAAAAAACAATTCACTGCAGGACGAACAATAACAGCAATAGTGAAAGACGGATTTTTAACTTGGGCAAAAGATAACCATCCTCGGGCTGGAGTTTAAAAAAAGAATACCAGACAATCTGATAGAAGCTGGGGAAACAGAGAATAAATAGTCTGCTAATGGCTTTCAAAAATTGGCATGAGCCAAAGTGTTGGTCAAGGGGAAATTATGGAGACAAGACATCATCCCCCGACTAGAACAATATTTTCGGGGTACTAAGACATGCCTTTAAGTGGTGAACTGTGACCGTGAGAAAACGACTGTCTCTTGCATGAAAGTCAGTGCTCCTCCACCAACTAGTGCGTTACACCTCACTAGAGGGCACACTGCTTACCGCGCTGGCTCTGAACATCGGCACGGGGCATAAATCATTTGCTGCAGAATCATCTGATTTCAAAGCAGTCCCAAGGGATACCGGGCTACAATGTGATAACTCTGTGGTTCTTCCAATACAGTATTGAACAGGAATATTGAATAATAGACGCAGGCTGGTGGGAAGCGGCCCACAAGGCCCCTCAGCAGCATCAGTTGAGTAATGATTGTTGCATCTGGAAGGCAGCACAGGATTATGTTGCACACGGGAGGATGCACAGAAAAGTCGCGCACGGGAGTCCAAAGGGATGCAATTAAAAAAGATCAATCAGTATGGAGAGTGGGATCATTAAGCTGGAAACAAAAGGCTCGGGCTTGTAGTGTGAGAGTGGCGGCACCCGAAAGTTTTCGGGGAGAGCAAACTGTTGTTGACGCGCAGGCGGTGGAATCGGTAAAAAGTGCACGGCAAAGGATCGGAGACGACGAGGCTAATTAAAAATAATGAGCTGCATGTCTTGTCTTTGTAATCGTGAACCTACATCAGAGCTAAACACAATGTCATTTTAGTTCAGTAAACTTTCTGTTCATCGTTGACTGATTTTAAGCAATTGTAATTGTGAGCATGACATTTTTGATTATATATTCTAACACACCACGATGTTTTGTTTTTTTACTCACCACCATAGCCTTTATAGCCAACTTTGCACAATTTGAAAAAGTTTAAAGGAAAATTTCAAATTCCTTCAGTATATGATAGAAATATTCATCCTATATCTGTATTTATTGGGACACACCGATCCAATGCTGACTCTAATAGCTAAGACAGCTTATTAATTAAACACTGGTTTCATAACCGTACTTGGTATCAGCCGATACCCAAGGCCCCTGTATCGGTAATGGTATCGGAAATGGGTATTGGGACTGAAAAAGTAGGATCTACAGAGTGATTTACAGATCACTAAAATACCTGGTAAATTCAAATTTTACATTGATCATTGACATATTTAAAATTCTGTTACCTTCTAAGGTCACAGGAGGACTCAGACTCAACACGTCACTGGGGAACCTTTGGTTTTCTCCAAGCTCTGCACAAGACTAGAATAATGAGCAGACCTTATAATTCACCATCACCCCCTAAAAAGCAAAGATAAACAGGGTCATCTAATTTGCTGAATCCACCAGTGTTACAAATAGAATTTTAAGAATTCAAGTAGTAATTGGTCTCTTCCTAATTTACGGTACCAAAGCAAAACTTGAAATTTATTCAAAACCTGTATATTCCACCGCTGTCTGTAGCACAACAGCATCTAAAGTTGTCCTCATTAAGGAAACTTTCTCAGAATGCACAGGTCAGCATTTAAACACTCCCAAAAACCTACGAAGAAAAAGAGACGGCAACGATGTACAAGCAGAACTGCATCACCGGTGAAGCGAACAGAAAGCACTCATACTATATGTTGCACAAATGACAAATGCCGCTCAGATGCCGAAAATTCCCCCCAAAACGCTCTACAGCGACAACAAATCCCTGGATGGAGGATTTTGCACTCAGCATTTGGTCCAATGTCCCCAAAAGACAGTCATCATCACGGTGACCTGTCAACATAAAAACATTAAACAGTCTGAGAAATCGTGAACGGTTCATCAGCATCAACAAATTCAAGTCTGACACAGCCCCAGTCTCTCAAGGTGTCCCCCAAGGTTCAGTACTCGGTCCCCTCCTCTTCATCCTCTATCCCCCTTGGTGACATCATACGCCACCATGGTCTCCAGTACCACTGCTATGCTGACGACACCCAGCTCTACATCTCCACCAAATCCATCACCCCCACCATCCACTCCACCATCACCAACTGCCTCACAGATATAAAAACCTGGATGCAAGCTAACTTCCTCAAACTCAACACCGACAAATCTGAATCATCGGCCCCAAATCATTAAACAATTCCCACCACAACTTCTCCCTCTGCATCGATGGCATCACTGTTCCTGCCTCCACACATGTCCGTAACCTCGGGATAATTTTGGATCAAAATCTCTCATATGAACGCCACGTCAATCACATCACAAAAACCGCCTTCTTTCATCTCAAAAACATCGCCCGTCTCCATCCCTCCCTCTCCTCCGCAGCCACTGAAACACTCATCTACGCCTTCATCACCTCTCGACTGGACTACTGCAACAGCATCCTGTACGGCTCACCCACCAAAATCATCAATAAACTACAATACATTCAGAACTCAGCTGCCCGTCTGCTCTCCCACTCCCGCACCAGAGACCACATCACCCCAGTCCTTCAAAACCTCCACTGGCTCCCCATACAGCAAAGAATCCATTTCAAGATCCTCCTCATCACTTACAAAGCCCTCCACAACCTCGCCCCTTCATACCTTTCGGACCTCCTGTACCATCACACTCCCAACCGCAACCTCAGATCTGCCGACGCCAACCTCCTTACCCCACCTACTCTGTCCAAGCATCAGACCTGGGGGGACAGGGCCTTCTCCGTTGCTGACCCCTCCCTCTGGAACTCCCTGCCCCAACACCTCAGACATTCTTCGTCACTCGCCACTTTCAAAACTGCACTTAAAACTCACCTATTTAAATCTGCTTTTAACCTCTAAAGTCAGTCATGTATGTTTTCTTTCTTTCTTTTCATGTTTATTTTATTTTTTTTCTTACTGTTATGTCGTATATTTTGTTCTCATTATAAATGCTTCTATTGTTTCTGTTTATGTAAAGTGTCGTTGAGTGCCTTTTAAAGCGCTATATAAATAAAATGTATTATTATTATTATTATTATTATTAACATAAATACTCCTGCTGAGTATCATTAGTGTCTGCTGCTTTGGACGGAGTGGTTGACTGAAGACATTACAAGGTCTGTTATTTAGCAAGGCGACTATCTCGCGGCAGCAACAATCAATAGGCACAGACATGTCTGGGTTTTGGGGAGTTGGACGAACTAGGAAGACGGACAATTGACTGGCAGGCTGAGTGACTGACTAACAAGCCAACAAACGTAACGAAATAAGGAGGAATACATAAAAGAAATATCACAACTTCCCCTTACAGCCAAAAAGTGCATGTATCTGACCTGTGATTAGAATCCACTCCCACATTGTAATGGATTCTAATTGTCCCATGCTAAACCCTTCCACCAACTTTAATAAAAAATCAGAGCAGTAGTTTCTTTGTAATCCTGCTGATAAACAGACCAAAAAACAACAACAAACCGAATAGATAACCTCCTTGTCGGATCTATGGCTTGAAACTTCACAGTTCTGTATCAGTCTCGTTGCTCTCGTAGCGTTGTTTGTCGGTTGCAGTAGGAAGCCTTTTTCAATGAAAAGGCTACGATAAACTGCCACTGTAGGCTACTGCCTTGCACCAAACGGTGGGCAGAAAACCTTAGCGACCAGCAAGCGAGCATAGCTTTATTTAGCTGCTAAAGTGGCTTGAACCACGAGTTTAAACGATGCTAATGTTGCTCTGCATCTGCTGGATGTGTATTTAAGCATCGTTTAATATGTCAGTGTCGGATTTGTATGAGTAGCCGTGCGGACGTTACGACTCTTCACTGCTTGCTTCACTGTTAGATTGTGTGTGAGCGTTCGCCACCATTCAGTAACTGCCACTCGTTGCATAGGCTCGCTCTGAGGGAGCTAACGCTCATGCTAACA